AACAGACTAGTTTCAAATTGGGAAAGGAGTACATCAAGACTATATATTGTCAGCCAGCTTATTTAACTTATATGCAGAGTACTTCATGAGAATAGGCAGGCTGGATGAAGCACAAGCTGGAATCAAGATTGTGGGGAGAAATATCAATAACTTCAGATATGCAGATGACACCACCCTTATGGCAGAAAGCAAAGAGGGAATAAAGAGCCTTATGATGAAAGTGAAAGAAGAGAGTGAAAGAGCTTGCTTAAAACTCAACATTTAAAATGAAGATCATGACATCCTGTCCCATCACTTCATAGCAAATAGATGGGGAAACAATGGAACAGTGACAGACATTTTTCTCTTGGGCTCCAAAATCACTGTGGACAGTGCCTGCAGCCGTAAAATTAAAAGGCACTTGCTCCTTGGGAAAAAAAGCTATGACAAACCTGGACAGCATATTAAAAACAGAGACATTACTCTGCTGACCAAGTTGTGTATAGTCAAAGCTATGGCTTTTCCAGTAATCATGTACAGATGTGAGAGCTGGACAATAAAAAAGGCTTAGGGCCAAAAAATTGATGCTTTTGAACTGTGGTGTTGGAAAAGACACTTCAGAGTTCCTTGCACAGTAACATCGAATCAGTCAATCCTAAAGGAAAGCAGCTGTGAATATTCACTGAAAGGACTAATTCTGGAGCTGAAGCTCCAATTCTCTGGCCACCTGATGGGAAAAACTGACTCATTGGAAAAGACCCTGATGCTGGGAGAAATTGAAGGCATAAGGAGAAGTGGATGACAGAGGACAAGATGGTTGGATGGCATCACTGATTCAATGGCTATGTATTTGAGCAAACTCTGGGAGATGATGAAGGACAGGGAAGCCTGGCATATTGCAGTCTATTGGGTCACAAAGAGTCAGACACAATTGAGCAACTGAACAACAACAACAAAATTTTTAAACAAGTTGGAAGAGATAGCCATTGGAAATCCACACACACCTAACAAAAAAGTACTTCAGCCTGGAAGGACTGAAAAATACAGCCTAAGCAAAGCTTACATGTTAAGACTTTATCAGGAGGTTCATTCATAGAATAGCAAGAATGAGAGAATTAAGATGTGAAGGAGAGGAAACAAATTGAATGTAATGTGTTTAGCACACTGGCCACAGGCTGACAAAAAGAAATGTATTCAAATGCTATTATTCCATTAAGTCAAATGGAAGCATCAAGCCTTAAGATAGTCCACTGCAGGGAGAAAGACAAAGAGATTTATATCAACTCTTTACTATCTCTTCACTCCATGGTCAAAGTTCAGTAGGCTGGTTGACAACTTCCCTGAGTTTCTGAGTTGGGTGACCATGAAGCCACTGTGGATGAAAGATCCCTCACTCCATGACACAAGCTCTTTCTTTGAGCCCAGAAATGAATAGAACTAGCTCCCAATGCAGGAATAATATTTGCCATTCCAAACCCTGTTCCTTAGAAGGGAGTTTAAAACAACTAGCAATGTTATTCATAGAAGACAAGGTGATAGCAATGGTGGACAGGCTCTCCATGAAGAACTAAGTCAAGTCATGCAAAACAGGTAAAAATAAGCAGATCCCATGCACTGGGTCCCCTACATGTAACATCAACATGTATAAAGCTAAAACTGACAATTAAAAGGAAAAATTAGACAACTCAACTTAGAGGGGTGGGAATGGGTGGGAGGTAGGAGGGAGATTCAAGAGGGAGGGGACATATGTACACCTATGGTTAATTTATGTTGATGTAAGACAGAAAACAAGCCAATATCGTAAACCAATCATCAATTAAAAATAAATAAATATTTTAAAAAATCAATAAACATAAAGGTAGATATGTAGTATACTCCTCACAATAACTGATAACAACTAATAGATAAAACATGAACATGAACAAGGTAAATAACAAAATTGATGTAACATGTACAGAAAACTGCATCCTTTTAATGCTCAGCACACATTGTTTTTCAGTGCACATGTGATAACAGAACATTTGTTAAAATTGGCTATATTCTAGTCCATAAAGCATGTTTCAACAAAATTTTAAAAAACTGAAATAAAAGACTGGCACCTAGTATGTTGTTGTGTTTTTTAAACACATTAAAAATCATTCTGTTCTATTAAGTTCACAATTGTGAGCTTCAAAATCTGCTGAATGATCCTTGATCAAATACAGATTACAAACATTCAAGAAACATTTTCATCCTTCTCATATAATGGTCTCAGAATTGTGTTTTCTCTGGCTTCCAAAACAGAGGTTAATGATTTAGTAAATGTGGATGTATGTTAATTGTATGTCCTCTTTAGGGAAAGATTACATATGCCTTTCACTGATATCTGTGAACATTTCTTTATTTCAACCACATCAACTAGTAGTGATGACTTCTATTGCTATTATGAAGATATGTCAGGATCTTAATGAATTGCTAACTTTTGATCCTTAAAAAAAAACTTGTAACACTGTTTTATATTTATAATGGTCCTTGAAATTTTATAAATGTCCTATGGGTCAAAGAAAAAATTAGCAAAAAAATTAGAAACTATTATGAAATATATGATAAAGAAAACATTGTATTTCAACTTACATGTCATAGCAAAAGTTGATTTGACTTAAATTCGGAGGCTTATATGCAAAGATTAGGAAAAAAGAAAGTCTAAAGAACAATAAGGAAGAGAATGTGGGGAAACTCAGCCAGCAAAGACTGGCCACAGAAAGCAGGAATCATAAAGGAAAAGACTTTATTACATTGAAATTCAGAACTTTTACAAGTCAAAGACACATTAAAGCAAGTTACAGGTTGGGAGAACATACTTGCAATACATACATCACACAAAGAACTTGTATCCAAAATATATAAAGAATCAATGAAAATCAATGAGACAAGACACACAACCCAACAGAAAAGTGGGGAAAAGACTTTTGAATACACACTTCACAAAGGAGAGTATCCATGTAGCCAAAACGGATGTGAAAAGGGGTCAACATCATTGGTTGACAAAGAAAATTAAATTAAAACCACAATGAGTTTACCACTATTTCCAGAATGATTGAAAGTTTAAAAGGATAATACCACCAGTTGTTGGCATACTTATGGAACAAGAGGAACTCTCTTCAACTATTGATAAGAGAATGAATTGGCACAAACTTTAGAAAAAAATTTCACTTTATTTAACAAGGTTGAAAATATGTATACTTTATATCCTACCAATTTTAATCTTAGGTATATATCCAACAGAAAAATGTGTACATCTTCACCAAAATACATCCTTCAATAAAAAATAAATAAATTTAAAATTAAAAAAGGGTAAAAGGGAATATTTCACTATTTCACTATTGCTACTATATTATCATATATCTGTTTTTTTACCCTCTGATACACATGCTTTTTGCAAAAATGGGATGATTCCTGCATCGTTTCAGGATATGCTTTTTTTCATTTAACATTATATAGGGGGCCTCTCAACTGTTATTGAATAAACCTACAGCTTCATTAAAAAAAATATTCACATTGGCTTACTATAATTGGCTAATACTTGAACAACTAAATATTCATCAGCAATAGTGACAAATTGTGGTATAGTCATAAATGTAATGAAATGAAACAACAATGAAATGAAACAACAATGAAAATGGCCAAATTGCATCTATACAGAAAATATCAATAGCTCCCACTGAAACAAAAGAATTGCTACTGTATGATTCTATTTAAATAAAGTTTTTAAACCAGGCAACACTCATATATGATTTTAGAATTTAAATAGTAACTATTTTTAGAGAAGAGAGATGTAGTTATTTAGATGGGATGCCAAGGAGTACCCAGACTACATGCAATATTCTATTTCTTGGCTGGAACAGTAGTTGGGTATTCATGTTTCAAACATCTGTACACATTGGTATGTATTTATTTTAATTCAAGTTTTTTAATGAAAAATTAAATAACAAATAATTTAAACTACATGATCAACATTTGTGTAATAGGTCCTGGAGACACAGAGAGAAAATTAGTAAGCTGAAGTTTAAAGTTGAAAATAGATTTCAAGGAGATTATTCACTAAGTAGGAAAAGAGAAAAATATGTGGTAGTCAGAGAAATGGCTAGATGATGAAAAATTAACAAGAGCTTGAAAGAGAAAATGACATTTCCAAACATGGAGAGAAAGGAACAGAATGCATGCTGGCTGACATGTGCTGCACATAGGGAACAAAGGGAATGGAAAGATAGCTAAGTGTTGATAGCTACATAGTATTTCCTATGTACTAACAATTAAGATCTCTTTAATTATCACACAACTCTATGTGGTAAGAGTATTTTTACCTCCATTTTGCAAATGAGGCCCAGAGAAGTTAAGAAAGTTACCCCAAAGTTATAGGGGTAGGAAATGGCAGTACTCAGGTGCTACACATACTATACTATACTGATAAGACTTAGGTTTCAAGCCTGGGTGATTTAGAGGGTGATACATGGCAACCCACTCCAGTATACTTGCCTGGAGAATCCCATGGACAGAGCAGCATGGTGGGCTACAGTACAGAGTCACAAATTAATGGATAGATGGATAAATTAATGGCTTTCTCTCTGACCTTAGAGCCACTGCTCTTTATAATATGATCTTGATTTGACTTGATATTAAAAGGACTCTCAAATCTTGGAATTGGAGTATATATTAGGGTCATATAATTTATAAGCTTATATGATTATTTCTTTTTGTTCATTTTATTCCAAAGAAGATTCAAGATATTTAATATATGACTTCTCTTCACAGCATTGTTATCAAATAGTCAATAAAATTACAAGCCAGATCAAGAATTTAGATTAAAGAAAAACTCCAGCAAATTGACAAATGACATAGTATATATATTCTATGCCCAATCTATATTTGTATATTGCTATTGTGTTATAATCATTCACTAGTAACAAATGTATAGACATAGTCCAATTCTGTGCATAAGTCTGTTCCACAAGCCCAAAATGAAACAAAGAAAGTGAATTTACCTTCAATCTGGTTTCCTTTTCCATAACAATGGTTCTGATAAGAGTAAGTTCAGTCAGAGAAAATATAAGTAAAACTTGTAAAGGGAAGAGAGATAAAAAAGAGAGAAAAAAATCATCTTTATAATAAGCAGGGTATGGAAATCTGGCAACAAAAATGGTGACATTTTCAAATAGCATTTCCGCAGCTCTGCCATTATGGTACACAATGATGGCCTTATCCAAGGCATGCTGCACAAGCAGGAATCCGTCTTTGTAGTACTCTAAGTGAAAAAACAAAGATTGCCAAGTTCAGTATATTAGGAAACAGCAAGGCGAACACAGAAGGCAATTGAGGTAATTCTAACTTTTAAACTCATAAAACAAAGCAAATTCACAAAACTTTTAATAGTTTGGAATATAAAGAGATAATAAATAGCATGGAATTGCATTACCACCTTCCCCAAACTAAAATACTTGCATCCAAATGTTATAGTTGGTTTATGAAATATTATCAGTCAGAAGAAATGAGAATTCAAGGAAATACCAGATATACTTTTCTATACCGGACACATGCATAGAAATGAAACTTAAAACAAGATATGACATAATTCCATTTACAATAGCATTGAAAAGAATAAAATACATAGGAAGAAACTTAACCAAAGAGGTAAATTACTTGTACACTGAAAACTACAAAGCATTCCTGAAATTAATAAAGAAGACACAAATAATTAAAAGACATCCTGTGCTCATGAACTGGAAGACAATATTCATACTAATCAAAAGTTATCTACAGATTCAATATAAGCTCTATCAAAACCCCAAATGCATTTTTTGTAGAAATAGACAAAAATCCTAAAATCCATATGAAATTGCAAAAGATTCTGAGTAGCCAAAATAACCCTGAGCAAGAAAAACACTTGTAATTCTAAGCTGGAAGACTCACATGTCCTGATTTTAAAATATATTAGGAAGTTACAGTAATCAAAAGACTATGGTACTGGCATGAAGACAGACATAGACACAAATGGAAAACAACAGATGATCCAGAAACAAACTCTCATATATGGTCAAATGATCTTTGCTAAGGGTATTGGGCAAAAAAATATAGTCTCTTCAAAAGAAACGGTGTTGGATAAACTGGAAGTCCACATGCAAAAGAATGAATTTGGATCCTTACTTTATACCATAATCAAAAATAAAATGAAAATGGATTGAATATCTAAACACAAGACCTGACATTGTAAAACTCTTAGAAGAAAACAAAGGTCAAATCATTCATGACGTTGGATTTGGTGATGATTTCTCAGACATGACATCAAAAGCACATGGGACAAGCAAAAATAAACAAAGTAGATTACTTCACACTTAAAAATGTTTCCACAGCAAAGGAAACAATCAACAGAATGAAAAGACAACCAATGAAATGGGAGAAAATATTTATAAACCATAAAATTTATAAAGGGCTAATATTCAGAATATACAAAGAACTTGTAAAACTAAACAACAATTAACAACCATATTAAAAAATATGAAAGACCTGAACAGACATTTCTTCAAAAAAATATACAAGGGGACAAAAAGAAAATGAAAAAAAATAATCAAATTCACTAGTCATCAGGGAAATGCATATCAAAGCCACAAGATGCCACCTCATACCTGTCAGGATGGCCACTACCAAAACAGAGAAACTAACAAATTTTGGTGAAGATGTAAGGAAATTAAAATCCTTGTGAACTACTGGTGGAAATATAAAATGGTGCACTTGCAATGGAAAACAGGATGGAGGTTTCTCATAATATTACAAGTAATTGCCATAAAATCCAATAATTACATTTTTTGGAATATATAAAGAGTTGAAAATAGGATCTCTATGAAATATCTGCACACACATATTCATTGCAGCATTATTCACAATAGCCAAGAGCTGAAAGCAACCTAAATGTTCTTTGATAGATGAACAGATAAACCAACTGTGGTGGTTTATGTGGTTTATGTATATATATATACACACACACACACACCAATGCCAACGAGGCTGAAGTTGAATGGTTCTATGATGACCTACAAGACCTTCTAGAACTGACACCAAAAAAAAGATGTCCTTTTCATCATAGGAGACTGGAATGCAAAAGTAGGAAGTCAAGAGATACCTGGAGTAACAGGCAAATTTGGCTTCAGAGTACAAAATGAAGCAGGGCAAAGGCTAACAGTTTTGCCAAGAGAATGTACTGATAATAGCAAAAATCCTCTTCCAACAACACAAGAGACAACTCTACACATGGACATTACCAGATGGTCAACACCTCAATCAGATTAATTATATTCTTTGCAGCCACAGATGGAGAAGTTCTATAGAGTCAGCAAAAGCAAGACCAGGAGCTGACTGTGGCTCAGATCATGAAATTCTTATTGCAAAATTCAGATGTAAATTGAATAACATAGGGAAAACTACTAGACCATTAGGGTATGACCTAAATCAAATCCCTTATGATTATACAGTGGAAGTGACAAATAGATTCAAGGGATTAGATCTGATAGACAGAGTGCCTAAAGAACTATGGATGGATATTATATAGGAGGTGGTGGCGTAATACCATCCCCAAGAAAAAGAAATGCAAAAAGGCAAAATGGTTGTCTGAGGAGGCCTTAAAAGTAGCTGAGAAAAAAGAGAAGTGAAAGGCAAAGGAGAAAAGGAAAGACAAACCCATCTGAATGCAAAGTTCCAAAGAATAGCAAGGAGAGATAAGAAAACCTTCCTGAGTGATCAGTGCAAAGAAACAGAGGAAAACAATAGAAAGGGAAAGACTAGAGATCACTTCAAGAAAATTAGAGACACCAAGGAAACATTTCATGCAAAGATGGGCACAATAAAGGACAGAAAAGGTATAGACATAAAAGAAGCAGAAGATATTAAGAAAAGGTGGCAAGAGTACACAGAAGAAAACTATACAAAAAAGATCTTGACCCATATAAGCACAATGGTGTGATCACTTACCTAGAGTCAGACATCCTGGTTTGTGAAGTCAAGTGGGCCTTAGGAAGCATCACTACAAACAAAGCTAGTGGAGGTGACGGAATTCCAGTTAAGCTATTTCAAATTCTAAAAGATGATGCTGTGAAAGTGCTGCACTCAATATGCCAGCAAATTTGGAAAACTCAGCAGGGGTCACAGGACTGGAAAAGGTCAATTTTCATTCCAATCCCAAAGAAAGGAAAGGCAAAAGAATGTTCAAACTACCACACAATTGCACCCATCTCACATGCCAACAAAGTAATGCTCAAAATTCTCCACGTCAGGCTTCAACAGTAGGTGAACTATGAACTTCCAGAAGTTCAAGCTGGATTTAGAAAAGACAGAGGAACCAGAGATCAAATTGCCAACATCCGTTGGATCATTGAAAAAGCAAGAGAGTTCCAGAAAAATATCTAATTCTGATTTATTGACTATGCCAAGGCCTTTGACTGTGTGGATCACAACAAACTGTGGAAAATTCTTCAAGAGATGGGAATACCAGACCACTTGACCTGCCTCCAGAGGAATCTGTATTCAGTCAAGAAGCATTAGTTAGAACAGTACATGAAACAATAAACTGGTTCCAAATTGGAAAAGGAGTATGTCAAGGCTGTATATTGTCACCAAACTTATTTAGCTTCTATACAGAGTGAATCATGCAAAATGCCAGGCTGGATGAAGCAAAGCTGGAATTAAGATTTCCAGGAGAAATATTAATAATCTCAGATATGCAGATGGTACCACCCTTATGGCAGAAAGAAAAGAGGAACTAAAGAGCCTCTTGATGAAAGTGAAAGGGGAGAATGAAAAAGCTGGCTTAAAACCCAGCATTCAAAAGACTAAGATCATGGCATCCGATCCCATAACTTCACAGCAAATAGGTGGGGAAACAATGGAAACAATGACAGACTTTATTTTATTTTCTAGGGCTCCAAATTCACTGCAGATGGCAACAACAGTCATGAAATTAAAAGATGCTTGCTCCTTGGAAGAAAAGCTGTGACCAAATTAGACAGCATATTAAAAAGCAGAGATGTTACTTTGCCAACAAAGGTCCATCTAGTCAAAGCTATGGTTTTTCCAGTAGTCATGTATGGATGTCAGAGTTGGACCATAAAGAAAGCTGAGTGCCAAAGAACTGATGCTATTGAACTGTGGTGTTGGAGAAGACTCTTGAGAGTTCCTTGGACTGCAAGGATATCAAAACAGTCAATCCTAAAGGAAATCAGTCCTGAATATTCGTTGGAAAGACTGATGCTGAAGCTGAAGCCCCAATACTTTGGCCACTTGATGGGAAGAACTGATTCATTTGAAAGACCCTGATGTTGGGAAAGATTGAAGGCAGGAGGAGGAGGAGGAGATGGAGGAGGAGATGGTTGAATGACATCACTGACTTTCTGGACATGAGTTTGAGCAAGCTCCAGGAGTTGGTGATGGACGGGGAAGACTGGCATACTGCAGCCCATGGGGTCACAAAGAGTCAGACACGACTGAGCAACTGAACTGAAATGACCTATAATGGAATATTATTCAGCCTTGAAAAAGAAGAAAATGCTGGTATATGCTACAAGATGGATAAATCTTGAGGACATTATGCACAAAAAGACAATTAATGTGTGAGGCCACTTAAATGAAGTATCTAGAGTAGTCAAACTCATAGAAACAGAAAATAGAATGGTGGTCTCCAAGTGCTGGAAGGAGGGGAAAATTAGTTGTTGTTGTTTAATTGGTGCAGGCTTTTAGTTTTGCAAGATTACATAGTTCTGGAGATCTGCTACACAATAATATACTTTTGTTGTGCACTTAAGAAAATGGATCTCATGTTTAAGTATTCTTATTACAATTTTTGTAAATATCACTTTCAAATTTCACTGAACTAACTCTGATCATCTCTTCTACCACTTAGCTGATTTAACTGGTCCAGGTCCTAATAATTAATACCATAGAATTTTACTGTTGAAGGGGATTTAAAAGGTCACTTACTCCAAATACTCATTTTGCACCTTAAGAAACTTGGCCCAGAGTGTTTAAGATCATAAAGGTACTGACTAACAGAGTCTAAGAAACATCAAATCACTTGACTCCCAGTCACTATACTATAATGTCATTTACAAGGACAGTATCTCTTCATACAAGTTTTTAATATTAACTTGCTATGCAGTATCATTCAATAGGTGAAATCTGTCTAATTTTTATTTCTTTATAACAGGTTTTTTAAGGAAAGCCTCCCTTGAGGAATAGCATATATTTAAATGTTTTTATCGGACCAAAGCTTCTTTTTGGTTTTAAACTACTATTTTTCCACTAAGATCATGCACTTTTCAATTAACTTACTCTCACAACTATACTTAGGATGCAGCATGCTAATTTTAAAAAAGGCCACTTTTGATTAGAGAAATACACAATGTTTTTGATAAAAATGACAAGACACTACACAATCCCACCACTCTAACTTTTTTTTATTTTCAGACAGCCATTCTAATTTTTATACAGACCATTATACATTTTCATAATTCTATCCGTATGGCTCTGTGTTTATCAGTTTTGATAATGATTAATTTTCATCACTACACAGTAATCTGTCAAACTGATAGATCATCATGTTCTTGATAATAGTAAACTACACATAGCTTTTGTCTTCTGCTGAATAATTTAGTAAAGACAAATTCTCAGGATTGTTAGTTAATTCAAGTCCTCTATTGTTTGTTTGTTTGGTTTTTGGGAGGTGGGGGCTTCCCTGGTGGCTCAGAGGGTAAAGCATCTGCCTGCAGTGCAGGAGACCCGGGTTCGATCCCTGGGTTGGGAAGATCCCCTGGAGGAGGAAATGGCTACCCACTCCAGTACTCTTGCCTGGAAAATTCCATGGACTGAGGAGCCTGGTAGGCTACAGTCCATGGGGTCACAAAGAGTCGGACACTACTGAGTGACTTCACTTTCACTTTCTATTGTTTTTTATTCCTAAAGTTAACCTATGTAATTTAAAAACAATTTAAAACTACCATTGCATAATGAAACATCATCCATCAAAATAACTGTCCCAAAATAATACAGGAACCATAAGCATGCAAATAGTGCTAGTAAATGAAAACATGTCTATGTCAGCAGAGCCAAAATTTACCAAAAAAGACTAAATAGATGCATAGATATACATTGATAAAAGTTCAGGAAATTATCAAAGGTGATACAAAGATACTTTTCAAGTGTATCAGTTCAGTTAGGTTGCTCAGTCATGTCCGACTCTTTGCGACCCCATGGACTGCAGCACGCCAGGCCTTCCTGTCCATCCCCAGCTCCCGGAGTTCACTCAAACTCATGTCCATTGAGTTGGTGATGTCATCCAACCATCTCATCCTCTGTCCTCCCCTTCTCTTCCCACCTTCAATCTTTCCCAGCATCAGGGTCGTTTCAAATGAGTCAGTTCTTCCCATCAGGTGGCCAAAGTATTGGAGCTTAAGCTTCAGCATCAGTTTTTCCAATGAACATTCAGGACTAATCTCCTTTAGGATGGACTGGTTGGATCTCCTTGCAGTCCAAGGAACTCTCAAGAGTCTTCTCCAACATTACAGTTCAAAAGCATCAATTCTTTGACACTCAGCTTTCTTTATAGTCCAACTCTCACATCCATACATGACTATTGCAAAAACCATAGCTTTGACTAGACAGACCTTTGTTGGCAAAGTAATGTCTCTGCTTTTGAATATGCTGTCTAGGTTTGTCATAACTTTCCTTCCAAGGAGTAAGCATCTTTTAATTTCATGACTGCAATCACCATCTGCAGTGATTTTGGAGCCCAAGAAAATAAAGTCTGTCACTGTTTTTCACTGTTTCCCCATCTATTTGCCGTGAAGTGATGGGACTGGATGCCGTGATCTTAGTTTTCTGAATGTTGAGCTTTAAGCCAACTTTTTCACTCTCCTCTTTCACTTTCATCAAGAGGCTCTTTAATTCTTCTTCACTTTCTGCCATAAGAGTGGTGTCATCCGTGTATCTGAGGTTATTGATATTTGTCCAAGCAATCTTGATTCCAGCTTGTGCTTCTTCCAGCCCAGTGTTTCCAATGATGTACTCTACATATAAGTTAAATGAGCACAGTGACAATATACAGCCTTGATGTACTCCTTTCCCTATTTGGAACCAGTCTGTTGTTCCATGTCCTGTTCTAGCTGTTGCTTCCTGACCTGCATACAGGTTTCTCAAGAGGCAGGTAAGGTGGTCTGGTATTCTTATCTCTTGAAGAATTTTCCAGAGTTTGTTGTGATCCACACAGTCGAAGGCTTTGGCATAGTCAATAAAGTAAAAGTAGATGTTTTTCTGGAACTCTCTTGCTTTTTCAATGATCCAACGGATATTGGCAATTTGACCTCTGGTTCCTCTACCTTTTCTAAATTCAGCTTGAATTTCTGGAAGTTCACAGTTCATATACTGTTGAAGCCTAGCTTGGAGAATTTTAAGCATTATTTTACTAGTGTGTGACATGAGTGCAATTGTGTGGGAGTTTGAGCATTCTTTGGCATTGCCTTTGTTTGGGATTGGAATGAAAACTGACCTTTTCCAGTCCTATGGCCACTGTTGAGTTTTCCAAACATAAGGTTTTTTATATGTTTGTTTTATCATAAAAACTAAATTTAAAAAACTTACCATCAGAATTCACAAAGAAACACATTTCTCACATGTTGAAAAAAAATGTTAAATGATTGCCGGATTGGACAACCAAAATAATAATTAAGTGTGCTTAAGGATATGCTCACCAGGATTTCCCCCTTGTGGGGAGTTTGGGTTCCTGGGTCCTAAAGAGGGATTTACTGGAAAGAGAAGTTCTGTAAACCATGGAGCCTTTTTTTCAGAATGGAAACGCAGATGATATTTTACCTAGAATGAACAATAATAGAAAACAAATATTTTAAGTCAATAAACATCAAAAGGCAAATACTAGCCATGAAAGGTACATAAAATAAAAAGTTAAAAGTTGTGTTTTGAGGACAAGTGAGCAACTCGGAATTCTACATGAGGAGAAACGACAGTATCACTGTCAACAGGGATCAGGTAGCAGGACTCACATCCTATAACCACAGTCATAATTTAAAATTGACTAAATTTATATGTTTCCTCTTTTATCTCCATGGCATTTTGCCTTTGAGTTTCAAAGACACAGTGGTGGTACCTTCTTTGATCATTATGAATGAATTTTCCTCATGGAGAACTGACATGACTACTTCCCTGGTGGGAGAAAGAAATGGCAACCCACTTCAATATTCTTGCCTGGGAAAGCCCACAGACAGAGAAGTCTGGCAGGCTACAGTCCATGGGGTCACAAAGTGTTGGACATGACTCAGTGATTAAACAACAGCTTCTCTGGTGTCTTCCCTGGTAGCTCAGTGGTAAAGAATCCACCTGCTAATGTAGGAGATGCGGGTATGTTCCCTGGGTTGGAAGATCCCCTGGAGAAGGAAATTGCAGCTCACTCCAGTATTCTTGCCTGGGAAATCCCATAGACATAGGAGGCTGGTGGGCTATAGTCCATGGGGTCACCATGGTCACCAAGTCAGTCACCACTTAGCGACTAAACAGTAACAACTGGTGAAAATTCAGAAAGTTCTATTATTTCATTTCCCATAATGTTAGCCAAATATGGTAGGGCAAAAAAAAATACTACCCTCTTCAAAAAAATGAATGACACATAAGGAAAAACCCAGATGAAGAAGAGGAGGGATGATAACATTTAAATGTTGAATGTTGCCTATTTTAAGTATTAAATGAAAAAATAATGATTCACTATGTCCAAGAGCCAAGTAAACTAAAAGGGTAAATTATGGTAGAATCTGAGTACCTTAACAAGACAAAAGATTACCGTCACCAATGATCAAGGAAGCAGAACAGAGAAAGTGAGAAGGAACAGGCACATGCACTATGTCTAAGTAAAAATTTACATAATTCAGTCATTTATAAACAAAGTTTTAAGTAACTACAGCATGCTTAAATATCTTAATACCCAATCCTTGATCTCAGAGAACTCAAAAAGTATTAAGGGAGCACAGAGGAGGAACGAGGACATTTTGCACTTACAAGAGTTTTCTAGAATGAATGACAACTATCCAAAGAAAATGAGGCACCTCTAGAGAACACATTCCTTCCCAAAAAGAGGATAACGTGACCAAAGGCAGAGGAGCAAGAGACAACATAGTACATGCAAAGAATTGCTACTGGTTCAATATTGCTATAACATAAAGTTCAAAGAAAGAAGAGACAAAAATGGGGCTGGCAATCAAAAAATGGGCCAAAGAACTAAACAGACATTTCTCCAAAGAAGACATACAGATGGCTAACGAACACATGAAAAGATGCTCAACATCACTCATTACCAGAGAAATGCAAATCAAAACCACAATGAGGTACCATTACACGCCAGTTAGAATGGCTGCTATCCAAAAGTCTACAAGCAATAACTGCTGGAGAAGGTGTGGAGAAAAGGGGACCCTCTTACACTGTTGGTGGGAATGCAAACTAGTACAGCCGCTATGAAAAACAGTGTGGAGATTCCTTAAAAAACTGGAAATAGAACTGCCATATGATCCAGCAATCCCACTCCTGGGCATGCACACCGAGGAAACCAGATCTGAAAGAGACACGTGCACCCCAGTGTTCATCGCAGCACTGTTTATAATAGCCAGGACGTGGAAGCGACGAATGGATAAGAAAGCTGTGGTACATATACACAATGGAATATTACTCAGCCATTAAAAAGAATACATTTGAATCAGTTCTAATGAGATGGATAAAACTGGAGCCCATTATACAGAGTGAAGTAAGCCAGAAAGATAAAGACCAATATAGTATACTAACACATATATATGGAATTTAGAAAGATGGTAACGATAACCCTATATGCAAGACAGAAAAAGAGACACAGATGTACAGAACAGACTTTTGGACTCTGGGAGAAGGCAAGGGTGGGATGTTTCAAGAGAACAGCATCAAAACGTGTATATTATCAAGAGTGAAACAGATCGCCAGTCCAGGTTGGATGCATGAGACATGTGCTCGGGGCTGGTGCACTGGGATGACCCAGAGGGATGGGATGGGGAGGTAGGTGGGAGGGGGGTTCAGGATGGGGAACACATGTAAATCCATGGCTTATTCATGTCAGTGTATGGCAAAAACCACTACAATAATATAAAGTAATTAGCCTCCAACTAATAAAAATAAATGAAAAGAATAATAAAATTTAACAACATATACATTTGAAATAAAAAGGTTGGGGGGGCTGGAAGGGTATTCAGAAACAGGTCACTGATGGCTTTATATCCTGTGCAAAGAAACTTCTCTAGTCAGTGGAGTACCCCGATGTCTTTAACATAGCAGAGCAACCTGATCTTTTCTGTGTTCTTAATGAATTGTTGTGGTATCCATGTGGATAGATTAAGTCTTGCCTGGGACATTCAGCTAACACATAAAGTTCAGCTACATAAGAGCCACAGGCTGAGGACAGAAGGAGAGTATAGTAGGTCTACATACCCGTGAAGTCAGAAGTCAGAGATAAGAAATTTTGTTTGGTAAAGTGTAGAAAAAGAGAACAGGTATCTGGGAAAATAACCTGGGGGGAAAATTGTCAGGAATACATTTCAAATGCTAGACACAGAGAATCAACAACAAAAATGAAGCTTGCAACTGTACCAAAGTTACTTGATATTTGGGCCACATATATCAATGAAGTTATATAAGCACAAGCATTTTTTTTTGAGGCAGTAATTAGCATAAAGTAGACATATATGAAAAGAATAAAGTGAGTTTCTTCCCTTCTCCTGGCAAATACTTGCCTCTTAAATGCTGGATCTGGCTCTATGCACAGATACTATAGTTTGATCATTTGCCTCAACCCTTCGTAGAACGTCTCTCTCTGGTAAAGAGACACACCAAGTTACCAGGTTCAAAACACTCCACCTTGAGCAATGTTATGAGAGTCTTCTTCAGTGGCTGCAGGTGTCCTAATTCTGATGCAACCTGGCTAAATCCTAAGAACGTTACTAGAGACTTAGAAGAGAAATTAAGTAATTTGTTCAAAAGAAAGAAGTCTTTCCTGTTGGAATCTCTGCCAGTGGATGCATGCATGCTAAGTAGCTTCAGTTGTGTCTGGCTCTTTGTGGCCCAATGAACTGTAGTCCACCAGACTCCTCTGTCCATGGAATTCTCCAGGTAAGAATACTGGAGTGGGTTGCCATGTCCTCCTGGAGGGGATCTTCCCCACCCAGGGATCGAACCTGCAACTCCTGTGACTAATGCATTGCAGGCAGACTCTTCACCGCTGAGCCAGTGGAAAGCCCTTGGTAGTGTATATGTATCTGCCTTTATTTTAAAAATCAAACTTAAAATATTTAAAGGATATGCAAATTAGCTATTAGTGGCATTATGGAAGCTTCCATGGCCACCAGAGAGAGAATCAAGAATTCTCAAAGTTAAAGCAATTACCTCTTTGGATATGTAGCAACAATATATTAAAGCATGACACCAAGTGCAAAAAAAAGAGGTATTTAGCAGGCAATTGTCCTAACAAGAAGGCAGAGAAACTCCTTCTAAAGCTCACAATCCCAGTAATTAAAGCTTCCACAGCCAAAAAAGTTCCAGACATGAGTTGGGCTGCTTTTGTGTTTATTTGATGTTCACATAGTAACAGCTTTATTATAAACTTGACTTCACATGCAAAGTCAGAATGGGAATTACACTTAAAATCAACACACTAAAAAGCTTAAATATCATATATAGGTATGTACTATCTGAAATTCCAGATATACATAAACAGGTAACAGATATTGCTGCCCATCTTTTTTATGTATCTATATTATTATTTTCTTCACCACAATTTGCAGGACTTAAAACACCTACCTTGCCAGGTAGATTGGCAAAATAAATATCCTTACTAAAGTTCCTATTACTTCATTTTTCTGAATACAAGACCTTAAGAGTGGGTGAGAGTCGCTCAGTTGTGTCCGACTCTTTGCGACCCCATGGACTATACAGTCCATGGAATTCTCCAGGCCAGAATACTGGAGTGGGTTGCCATGACCTCCTCCAGGGGATCTTCCCAACCCAGGGATAGAACCCAGGTCTCCCGCATTGCAGGCAGATTCTTTACCAGCTGAGCCACCAAGGAAACCCAAGAATAGTGGAGTGGGTACCTATCCCTTCTCCAGTGGATCTTCCAGAGCCAGGGATCAAACAAACAGGGGTCTCCTGCATTGCAGGCAGATTCTTTACCAATTGAGGTACTAGGGAAGCCACAAGACCTTAAGGTACAGTTTTATTCTCATCAGCATAATGTAATGACTAAAAGCATAGGTATTAAAATAAGTTGGAACTATTAATAGATTCAAATTCCTGCTCTTATATATAGCAGTTATTATCTTGAGCAAGTTATAACTTTTGCCATTTATAAAATCACGATTTTACCTTCATTTCATTAAACCCTTGAAGCTTTGAAATATAGTCTTTAGATAAAACTTTCCCACCTTAAGTGGCAATCTGTCATTACTGTTTTTGAAGTCATGATCAAATATGATAGCAGCCAGCACAAGAACAGATTGATTTTCATATTTAATATACTTTTCAAAATCTTCTTCTGAAGGAAAGCCTCGAACTGTACAGAGAAAAACAAGCATCATACAAATGCAAAATGTCTAATGATTATTCCTATCCTCCTATCATTACCATAAATACCATAATCCTGTCATAGTATTATAAAATTTAGAACATTATTACTCAAATACTGCCATCACAGATGTCCTCATGAATATCTGGGGTACACAAAATTATTACATATTATAAACTGTATATGATACTTTGAATGATGTTTAATCATTACAATAACTGTGTATTAATGTAAACTGGGACAGGAGAATTTTCTATTGTGTTTTGAAATCTAGTGATTTAAAGAAAAAAGGTGAAGAGAAATGACACTTATTTCTATGGGAAATATGATATTTCAGAAACTAACCTTAAGTTGTAGAATAAAACAACATTTTCAATTATATTTCTCATTCACAAATGAATCTGTATGAAATTTGGAAATACAGTCTCACAAAACCACTCATACACAATCACACACATACAAGTAACTTATAGGAATTAAAAAACACAATCACTGCTAACCAAAATGATCACATGGATCACAGCCTTGGGTACAATGAAGCTGTGAGCCATGCTGTGCATGGCCATCCAAGACGGATGGGTCATGGTGGGGAGTTCTGACAAAACATGGTCCCCTGAAGAAGGGAATGGCAAAACACTCCAGTTTCATTGCCTTGAAAACCCCATGAACAGTATGAAAAGGCAAAAAGAAATGATACTGGAAGATGATCCCCACAAGTCGGTAGGTGCCCAATATGCTACTGAAGAAGACTGGAGAAATGGCTCCAGAAAGAATGAAGAAGCTGGGCCACAGTGGAAATGACTCTCAGTTGTGGATGTGTCTAGTGATGAAAATAAGTCTGATGCTATAAACAACAATATTGCATGGAATGTTAGGTCCATGAATCAAGGTAAATCAGATGATGTCAAGGAAGAGATGGCAAGAGTGAACATCAACATTTTAGGAAATCAGTGAAAAAAAAGGACAGTAATCGGTTAATTTAATTCAGATAATCATTATATCTAATTGTGGGCAAGAATCCCTTGGAAGAAAGGGAGTAGCTCTCACAGTCAACAAAAGAGGGTGCAATCTCAGAAAGGACAGAATGATCTCAGTTAGTTTCCAAGACAAACTTTTCAACCTCACAGTAATCCAAGTCTATGTCCAACCAACAATGCCGAAGAAGCTGAAGTTAAACAGTTCTATTAAGACGAACAAGACTTTCTAGAACTAACAAGAAAAAAAGATGGCCTCTCCCTCACAGGCGACTGGAATACAAAGTAAGAAGTGAAGAGATACCTGGGGTAACAGGCAAGTTTGGCCTTGGAGTACGGAATGAAGCAGGGCAAAGGCTAACAGAGTTCTCTGAGATAACACACTGGTCATTGCAAACGCACTCTTCCAAAAACACAAGAGATGACTCTACATATAGACATCATGAGATGGTCAAAACTGAAATCATATTGATTATATTCTTTGCACGCAAATATGGTGAAGATTTATACAGTCATCAGAAACAAGACCTTGAGATGAATGGGGCTCAAATCATGGGCTCCTTACTGCAAAATTCAGGCTTAACTTGAAGAAAGTATGGAAAAACATTAGGCCATTCAGGTATGACCTAAATAAAAATCCCTTAAGATTATATTGTGGAAGTGACAAATACATTCAAGGGATTAGGTCTGGTAGATAGAGTGCCTGAAGAACTATGGAAGGAGGTTCATAACATTGTACATGAGGTGGTGATCAAAACTATCCCAAAGAAGAAATTCAAGAAGGCAAAGTGGTTGTCTGAAGAGGCCTTTAAAATAGCTGAGAAAAGAAGAAAAATGAAAAGAGAGGAGAAAAAAAAATGTGTAACTGAATGCAGCATTGCAGAGAATAGCAAGGAGAGATAAGATAGCCTTCTTAAGTGAACAATGTAGAGAAATAAAGGAAAACAACAGAATGGGAAAGACTAAAGTTCTCTTCAAGAAAATTGGAGATACCAAAGGAATATTTCATGCAAAGATGGGCACAATAAAGGACATAAATGGCAAGGGCCTAAGAGAAGAAGAAGAGACTGAGAAAAGTTGGCAAGAATACACAGAAGAACTATGTAAAAAAAGGTCTTAATGACCTGGAAAACCACAATGGTGGTCTGACTCACTCACTGAGAGTCAGACACCCTGGAATGTGAAGTCAAGTGCGTCTTAGGAAGAATTACTATGAACAAAGCTAGTGGAGGTGGTAGAATTACAGCTGAGCTATTTCAAATTCTAAAAGATGATGCAGTTAAGTTCTGCACTCAATATGCCAGCAAAGTTGGGAAACTCAGCAGTGGCCACAGGACTGAAAAAGGTCAGTTTTCATTCTAATTCCAAAGGCACCCAATGCCAAAGAATGTTCAAACTACCACACAATAATGCTCATGTTACATGCTCTCAAGGTAATGCTCAAAATCCTTCAAGCCAGGCTTCAACAGTATGTGAGCAGAGAACTTCCAGATGTACAAGCTGGATTTAGAAAAGGAAGAGAAATCAGAGATCAAATTGCCATCATTCAAAGGATAATAGAAAAAGCAAAGGAATTCTAGAAAAACATCTACTTCTGCTTCACTGACTACACCAAAGCCTTTGACTGTGTGGATCACAACAAACTGGAAAGTTCTTACAGGGGTGGGAATACTGGACCACCTTACCTGCCTCCTGAGAAACCTGTATGCAGGTCAAGAAGAAACAGTTAGAACTGAATATGAACAATGGATTGGTTCAAGATTGGGAAAGCAGTAAATCCAGGCTATAGAATGTCACTCTGCTTATATAACTTATACAGAGTACATCATGCAAAATGCCAGGCTCAATGAATCACAAGCTGGGATCAAGATTGCCAGGAGAAATATCAATAACCTCAGATATGCAGATGACACCACCCTTATGGCAGAAAGCAAAGAGGAACTAAAGAGCTTCTTGATGAGGGTGAAAGAGGAGAGTGAAAAACTTGGCTTAAAACTCAGCATTCAAAGACTAAGATCATGGCATCTGATCTCATCACTGCATGGCAAATAGATGGGGAAACAGTGGCAGACTTTATTTTTGGGGGCTCCAAAATCACTACAGATGGTGACTGCTGCCATGAAATTAAAAGACAATTGCTCCTTGGAAGAAAAGCTATGACAAACCCAAACAGCATATTAAAAAGCAGAGACATTACTTTGCCAACAAAGGTTTGTTTAGTCAAAGCTACAGTTTTTCCAGTAGTCATGTATGGATGTGAGAGTTGGACCATAAAGAAAGCTAAGCACCAAAGAATTGATGCTTTTGAACTGTGGTGTTGGAAAAGATTCATGAGAGTCCCTTGGACAGCAGGGAGATCCAACCAGTCCATCCTAAAGGAGATCAACCGTGAATATTCATTGGAAGGATTGATGCTGAAGCTCCAATACTTTGGCCACCTGATGGGAAGAACTGTCTCATTGGAAAAGACCCTGATGCTGGGAAAGATTGAAGGCGGGAGGAGAAGGGGACAACAGAGGACAAGTTGGTTGGATGGCATCACCAACCCCATGGACATGAGTCTGAGCAAGCTCCAGGAGTTGGTGATAGAGAAGCTTGGTGTGCCGCAGTTCGGGGGGTTGCAGAGTTGGACATGACTAACCGAATGAATTGACTGACATCATGCAAAACGCCAGGCTGGATGCATCACAAGCTGGAACCAAGATCGCTGGGAGAAACACCAACAGCTTCAGATATGCAGATGATGCCACTCTAAAGGCTGAAAGCCAAGAGGAACTAAAGCCTCCTGAGGAAGGTGAAAGAGGGGAGTGAAAAAGCTGGCTTAAAACTCAACATTCAAAAAACTACCATCTTGGCATCCGGTTCCATCACTTCATGGCAAATAGGTGGGGAAAAAGATTAAGCAGTGATGGATTTTATTTTGAGGGGCTTCAAAGTCACTGTGGATGGTGACTGCAGCCATGAAATTAAAAGATGCTTGCTCCTTAGAAGGAAAGCTATGAAAAACCGATACAGCATATTAAAAAGAAGAGACATCACTTTGCTGACAAATGGCTATACACAGTCAAAGCTATGATTTTTCCAATAATCATGTAGGGATGTGAGAGTTGGAACATAAAGAAGACTGTGTGCTGAAGAATTGATGCTTTTGAACTGTGGTGCTGGAGAAGACTCTTGAGGGTCCTTAAGACTGAAAGGAGATCAAGCCCAGTCAATCCTAAAGGAAATCAACCCTGGATTTTCATTGGAAGGACTGATGCTAAAGCTGAAGCTCCAATACTTTGGCCCCCTAATGTGAATGCTGATTCACTGGAAAAGACCCTGATACTGGAATGAGTGAGAGCAGGCAGAAAATGGGACAACAGAGGGTGATATGGTTGGGTGGCATCACCACTTCAATGGATAGGAGTTTGAGAAAACTCGGAGAAATAGTGAAGGACAGGGAAGCCTGGCATGCTGCAGTCCATGGGGTTGCAAAGAGTCAGTGGCAACTTAGCAACTGAACAACATCAATGTAAAAAAGACATTAAAGTTTTTGATAGCCTCTATATCAAGAAATGTAAATAGCATGTTAAGAAATAAGTTTTTAAAATTTATACCCATATTCAAGGATTTAAAGAAAGCCACATTGTGAAAATGTAAAAATTGACATATAGAGCCAATGCAACTCTGATAAAATTCCAAACAGAATTTTTATGTAATGTTAGAAGCTGATTCTTAAACTTGTATAGAAATACAAGGGTGAAGAACAAGGTGAGAAGGCTTCCCCTACAGGTTATCAGAACATGATAAAATTATAGTGATTAAGATAGAATCAGACTGACACTGGATATACAAATAGACCAATAGAACTCATAAGTACATACACGAATATATGGAAAATTAATTTATGATAAAAGTGGAAATACAGAGTAGTAGGTAAAGAGTGGTCTTTTCCATTAAAAAGTAAGAAGTCAGATGAATATCCAAATGGGAATAAATGAAATCTCATATCATTAAAAAAAAAAGTTCCTT